ACTGAAGAAACAACCATAGCTGTGGCAACGCTATTTTAGCAGCATAACTTTATATGAATGGAGGAATTCAGTCATGTTTGAATTAAAAGTAAATAATACCCAAGGTCGTTCAACTATTTATGCATTCTAAGAATAATATGGGGATTTGTTTAAAAATACTTTACAATATTCTGCGTGTATGGAAAATTTTGATAATCATCTGCAAATTCTGGTTTTTGTTAAATTTGTTGTATTCAAGATAAACTGGAATTTTGGAATCTAATTAACATAATCTTGCGCACTGGAAGCACCCAAATCAAGGTGCACAGGTCAGAGATTCGCGCGTCGATTTGAACAGTTTTATTTAATTTGATAAAAATAAAATTCAAATACGTTAGCGTATTGTATATTTGATTTACGAATCTCAGCGGAATCCAAACCTTCCCATGGTACTTTGATCTCGCTCGACACCAAGTGTTCATACATACTTTAATCTCTGAAATATGATCCGTCTCCCGGGAGCATAATTTACAAGAATAAATGTGTTTTACTGAACAAAGACCATGATTAATTGTGTACTGCAGATGAACTACGATAGTTACCGGTTTGTATTCTACTGTAAATGATCTAAAGTAACGGTTCTAACCAAGGTAGCAGCTAATCCACTCACCAGCTAATCCACTCGTTTGTGGCTGATTGACTCACATTGTATACATTATCTTGGGTTCAAAATGACCAGTGGAAATGTATAGAACGGTTTTATGAAGATTCAGATTTTACTAAAATTATCATAATTGTCCATACCCATTGAAGTACTCTAAAATATCATTAAATTCAATGCATTTGGCACTTTTGAATGTATAGACATGACGATATTTTATGTAAAGATGAAACGTGCTTTGATGATTCCAACTTGACAGAAACGCTGTTTATTCCTACAACTCCAGACCTCTATAAAAAACTTCAGTTGCTACCTTGGAATCATTCCCTAAAGACGACACAGTCGAAGTAACATAGGCAAATGGTGACTATGTTTATACCAGCTTTAGTCTTTGCTTCAATTTTTATTTGTTCCCGGGTATCTTCAGTACCTTATTGTCAAATACCTCAAGTGAGCGAGGAAATTGACATGGGAAATGTGCAAGGTGATTGGTATCTTTCAGCACACCAAAATCAAGAGGTGTATAGCGTTGTACGTTGTGAAGTGTCAAGGAATACAAAAACTGAACAAGGTATGATTGTATATATATATATAAATATTAATCGATAAACAAAAATAGAAGCTTATAGTTGTTCATTATCAATTAAGTAATTTTGCAGAATAATTTTCGATTGTAACGTAGCACTGCTATAACTACTAGATAACATTTATTGTCTGTAGAGAATCAGAATTTTTTTTCCAATGAATGTTTTCTAATATCTAACTATCTTATTTTGCGTCATTTGCAGTAAGACATAAATCCATACGCCTTCTTCGGCAGCATTTGACTCTATTCTTGAACGATTGAAAGTAAATAAAATAAATATTACAATACTTCATAGAAGTTCAGGAGCTAATTTTCTACAATTGTTCTGAATGCAAAAATATATAATTTTTCTAGGTTTCACAGCCTACGTTAAGTTTTATAACGGTGAAGATTCAAATAATATTAGAGTAGCTGAGCCAGTATTCAATCGTGTTGCCCCTTCAACTTTTCACATCGTACAAAACAGAGGCGACAGTGAAGAAATAGCAGAAATTAAAAAAGAAAATACGAATCCTGGAGCTGAAACAAATATGGTGCTTGAAGACGATTCAATCAGGCAAAATCCATTTCTTTACATATCAGATTATAAAACATATAATTTGATCCTTCATTGTAACCTGAACGGCGATAAAGAAATTTTTGTTGAAACCAAAACCCCATCAGCAAATGGTGAAGTCATTCTCAAAGTACGTAACAAGTTGATCGAATGCGGAAACGGTTGGGAAAACGTTAAAGTTTATTCTAGTCAATGCGATCGAGTTATTGGTGAATAAAAGGAAGATGGCCGTCAGAGCTATTAAGAAATTTGAAAAAAAAAATGGAACTTAATAAATATATTATGTAGAAAAATAGGAGTATTAAAAAATATTTTTTCTTTGTAAATAGTGACAATTTCCTTGCCCTTTTGTTGTCACTCATATTCGGAAAATAAAATATAATAGGAGTTAACGCTGCTTGTGCATATTTTCATTTAAAAAGGAAAACCAGGGAACTCATTGAGTAATTGTAAATCATTTTCAAAGATTAGATTAAGTCTTAACTTTACGAAACAAGTCCGGTTGAAATTGCTGAAATAATAGAATGTTGGGAAATCTTAGTAGCAAATCAACTCCGGATAATTGAGCAGAATCATCTCAACCTAAGAGTAGAATTGCCAGTTCATCTAAGTCTCGCTCTCTCATTTTTTGTTCAAGTTGCGCTCAAAGTGTACTAAAGTTGAATAGACTTATGCATGTAACTAATATTTAATATAATTCAATATTTTATGTCATACTTGTTGTCAGAGCGAGTCTACTAAAAAGGTATTTGAGTTATCTGATGATTTTAAATGGATGTTTTGAGAATCGTCAGAAAAATAATCTATCGTTCAAATTGTTTTATGGAATAAAAATGTATTGTCATACCCAGCCATATCCTGTAGGGAGATGCATGGATTGCTAAACATTGGAGCTATGTTGATTTCGCTAAAATTTCAACCATCGACCAATGATTAGTGAAATCTTATTTTCTATCATCCACGCACAGACATACTAATTCATTAAATTTTACAATTTTGCCATTTTGTCAGACAATGCAGCTACAGGGGACCTACGAATATATCAATTGAATAACGTGTAGAAAAAGTCATATTTAAGGTCTATTGCAGTGATTCTCAACCTTTTATGGCTCATGGCCAAGGATGCTAAGTATGACTACTTACAACTTACAAGTATCCGATTCCTAAATTTTCGATTCCGCTTCCGAATCTCGATTCCTCGACATAGCTTATCGAGAAATCATACCCACTTGAACAATATCATATGAAATCGAAGAAGAGAGCGATGTTTAAATATATGGACATAGAGACCAAAACTGAAATCGCACACAAAAAAACGTATCTCTTAGAGCTCACAGAAATTTTGGTAATACATAAAATAAACGTAATAGCCTTCTAGCTAGAGAAAAGATGACAATTTTAATTGAATTCCAACAACAACAACATAATAACAAAACGATTTGTATGTCCACTTTGAGTCCAAAAATACCTGTTGTACCAAATAAAAAGCTATTGCAATCTAGAGTTCAATTTGTTCACATGCCTCCATGTGAGTCTCGATTGCAATTTGGAGACAGTATAAGCTCTTCTAAGCTAAATGCTCTTTTTGTTGCAGCGGAAGTTGATGGGACACAGAGGTATTTCTAGACGACAACTGGGTTGTTTGGATAAGATTTTTTGTTTTGCTGCCACCATTGCAAAATTTCTTATTGGAACTGATATGCCAAAATTTCTGTCTTTCAAATATTGCGATTTCTCAGCTGAAGCCTCCACCTCCCTGGTAAATTCACCAATGTTGCCGCCCCTTGCTTCAAAGCTGTCAATACCATCATTGATGAGATTTTCAATATATGCCTAATTTGTTCTATTGAAGAGCTGTTTGCTATTCCGGTCTGTCGGATTGCGGTGTGAACATTTCAGACTTAAAATTGCAACAGGCGTTTCACTTTTCCTAATGAATCTTGCTTCAAGTAAATAGGAGTTATAAAAGCAATAGGTAAGACAAAAAATATACGAATGCAATGTGGCACATGTCCTTGACCCGCGCTAACGAGCGAGTGGGAGGAGAGTGTAGAAATATAGTATAAAGTTTGCGGCGTCGTAGCAACTTCACATAGCGGTTTATACATATCTGTGTCACAAAACTTTATACTTTGTTTGCAATTCAAGTTTTAACTCTAAGAATCGATTCCAAGCCATCGGAATCGATTCTAGTCAAATCCACGAAGAATCGATTCTGGAATCGAATCCGAAGTCGATTCCACCATCCCTACTCGTGGCCCCCTTCGGGCGGCTTTTTACACTCGTGGTGCCATTTCAAAAAACTAAACGTGTTGGATTGTTTTTACGACCTTTTATGGAATGCAAAAAACAAACCACAGACCAAAAAGTCCAAGCTCTTTAGTATACAATCAATAGGAATCTTCCGCTTGGGACTGTCTGACGGGGCTTCTTCTATTAGACACCGTCTCACTGTCAACACCAAGACGGTTTCTAGATTTTGTTTTCTCCTACAGAAACCCGATCTTGGCCAATGTTTTTTTTTGTCAAATCTAACTCGCTTGGCACCCAAAAACCGATGTCAGGGTCTTTCACCTGGGGATGATTTCTGTCACTCATTACATATCGAGCAGTTCAGGCATTGAGCACATTCTCGCTTATACTCGATTTGACTGTCGTTCCTTGTTTTGTATTTTGGACATTAAGTTTTTTCGTCTATAATACGATACTGAAGGTTATCTCGCTGTCTAGTAAAACCGCCCGCCTGCAGATTAGGCGGCCTACCAGCGAACTAGTTTGATTGGTTAGTTTTAAATACACCCTGTGATCGCAAATAACCTATTCAGGTAATGAAACTGCGGTAAACGCCTGAACGGGGAAATTTATTTTAAAAGGAACGTATGCAAATGAAATCGTTTTATGACCAATTATTGTCCTTGTGTCGTGGCCCCCTCGAACTGCTTCGTGGCCCCCTTGGGGCCATATATATATTTGTGTAAGTGTGCAGCAAGACTCTTGAATTGAATAAAGTAATTATCCAGTCGCGGCTCGGGATCGAAATGATAAGGAAGATTCGAATTTCCGGCGCAATCTGCGCCAGTAATTGGTCGTAATTATCTTACAATGCTAAAGACCTTACACAGAAAAACAAGCAACGTCTTGTATGAAATCCGAAACAGGAATGAACTTATTATCCACGATAACACGCGCAATTGCGCGAGAGAAAAATACGAGGAAAACGAAATCAGCGAGGCATATCGTAATCAGTCGACGCTTCAGATGCGTCGGCAGTACAAACACTTATTATCACACAATAAAGGACAAACACTCGTTATTATATAACTGGCGCATCCCTCCTTCTCTCCCATAATGGGTATTACTATGAAAAAAAATTACTAAAACTTAGTAGAATGACGAGAAAGTATAGGTCACTTAAAAACCGAATGCCATAGTAAACGAAATTGTAATCAAAACAAATGCAAAACCGGGCTTATTCTAAAATGTAATCACTCAAATATGAAGGCTTACGATGCTCACGACGGGGGTAGCGAGATTGTGGTGCTGGGCCATCTTGCAAAAATAATTCTGGTGGTCCAGGAGGGGGAACATTCGCAGTAGGTAATTGGGGGAGTAAATCTACAAATGAGCTTGGTAGTAGCGGAGGATAGAAATCCTCAGAGTTCTCGTCATTGATTGTGGTATCTGGTATAACTTGGGAAGGGGAAGGTAATGTGGGTGAAACTAAAAAACAATCAGACTTTCGAACTTTGTACGAATTGGCTCGAAGCTGATTACCAATGAATTTTTTTATATTACACCAGTCACCATTGACAGACACAGCCAAGTACCTGTCCCGGGCTTTAGTTTTTTTGCGGTCAGCATATAAATATGGTGACAGCACATTTGAACCTACGTACATTTGAACCCGTACATCTGAACCCGTAATTTGAACCCAGGACAATTGTACCTGTATACTATTGCACCTATGGACATTTGCACCTACGGACATTTGAACCCATACATTTCCACCCATGGATTTTAGCACCCGCATATAGATTGAACCCGCGGACATTTGAACCCGTGTACGTTTGCACCCGCGTACATTTGAACCCATGTACATTTGCACCGGCGGACATTTGAACCCGTGGACGTTTGCACCCGCGTACATTTGAACCCATGTACATTTGCACCCGCGGACATTTGAACCCATGTACATTTGAACCCACGAACATTTGCACCCGCGGACATTTGAACCCATGTACAATTGCACCCACGGACATTTGAACCCACGTACATTTGAACCCGCGTACATTTGAGCCTACATACATTTACACCCGCGTACAATTGTACCCACAGACATTTGCACCCATGAACATCTACACCCATGGGCATTTGCATTTACGGATATATGCGTCTTTACATATACACCCTTATCCTTCCATGCTATATACTATAGAATATAGGAGTGGAAGGTACACTTAGGATTTTTTGTCCAAATGCATACGTTGCGAAAACACCATGGAATTCTCGATTATATACTCGAAGGCTTTATTACAACTATTTTCTATATATTTAAATTATATTATATATTTATATTATACTCCGTCTGTCATTGTCATCGCAATTGTCGATATCATAAGACTCAATGGACAAAATGTTCCGCTGTAGAATGCGAGCCAAAATTGGGGAGTATGATTTGTGCTTTGAACGGTCGACGACTCTTGAAGAGCGCGAGCAAGGATTTTAATTGATGTGTTAGTTCGATCCCGCGCAAAGTTTTTCCTCGCATCAATGCCCTTTTCCCCTCGCAGACAATTCCAAACTGTTTCTTTAGGACGTTGCAGCTGCGAAGATGACAAGTCCCTTTGCGAAAATAAGTTGGAAACATGGCGCCTACATTTTCCATGACCACAAGAGGAAACGACTTACTGATTTACAAAGGCCACGAATATTGTAAGCGAAATGATCGGGTTTCAGATGCTACTCATTGGCGCTGCCGTCAGTTTAGGAAATTTCGATGTAAATCGACTGTTGTTACAATCGGTGAAAATGTAATAAAAGAACTAGGATATCACAGTCATTCTGGCGACAGCATTAAGACTGAAGTTGGGATCATCCGTGCAACATTAAAAGAAGCAGCATCAACACCATCAAATACATCGACAAGATATATTTTAGGTGATAATGGCCATTGGAGATCGATCACTACTTGCACATCTAGATAGTGACCCATATCTTGGCGACGGTACATTTGATGTGGTGCCCGATATTTTCTTCCAGTTGTATACAATTCACTGTAAAGTGGGCGCATCCTATCCACCATGCGTATATTTCCTATTACGAGACAAGCGACAAGAAACATACGTTCAGATGTTGGAAGCGTTGAAAATCATTTTCCCAAATGCTAACCCCACCAAAATCATTGTTGATTTTGAAATAGCAGCTATCAATGCATTCCATGCACATTTTCCTCTGGCCGATTTTAAAGAATGTTATTTTCACCTGTCACAAGCTATTTCGAAAAGTTGGTTCTATCGGATTAAAAGAGAAGTTTGAATGTTTACCTTCTTTCAATCTGAAAATTAGAAGTTTGGCAGCTCTGGCTTTTGTTCCCATTAACGAGGTTGCCGAAGTCTTCCCCTTGCTTTGCGACACCTTTGAAGATTTGCCCGAATGCAATCAACTTTTGCAATATTTTGAATCTACCTACATTCGTGGACCTCAAGTGGGTTCACGTCCAAGAGAAACAAGATTTCCCCCTCGATTGTGGAACTATGCCAAAGAGATTGAAATGGTGCCTTCGGCCCCAAGAACAACAAACGCTGTAGAAGGATTTCACAACGCCTTACAAGGAATGTTCCGATGCAAACATCCGAGTATATATATGGGGTTTGCTGAATGGCCTACGAAAAGACATTGCGGTCCACAAACTGACTGCGGCAAATGCTCATGTAGGAGTTACGGCCCACCAAAGATCAAAGTATGTACAACTTGCCGTTAGGTTGACAGTTAAGTTTTTTCATATGGAACTGAAACCGACAAGCTGAGGTATCTCCACTCAATAGCTCAAATGCAGTCTATTTGATTTTGATCGTGATATCGTAAAATTTCGTTTATCGTCATTACTTTGATTTGTTGTTTAACTATTGTATCATAATTGATAAATTCCTATTTTGTAAAACGTCCATAGCTACTCTATCTCAAAATTGATCGCCCATTCGACACAAATTTGTGAGTGATAACTTTATTGAGATATTAAAATAAATGTAATCCGTAACCTATGACGTCGTTTGTAAATTGCAATATCATATTTAACAGACCCTATATGCTGAATATGTTCGATTCACTCTAAATAGTGTAAACAGCAAAAAACATTTTTGGCCACGATAATGATTTTAAAACTTCTTCACTTTCGAATATTCAACATATTTACATGACTTACGATTTCTATGTATAGTTTTGTTCTGACATTCTAATGAAACAATACTTCAATAAAACTGGCATTTGGCTATGAACATGTTGTTACAAAAATGGCATAGTTTCATTATCTTAATTTCATATTTTCTTAGAAACGAAGAATCTGTGAGTTTATTTATTTATATACAGACAATAGTATTCAATTTATAGATTGATTTTAGGAAAAATGTCAAAACCTGATTTGAGACAACACTCATTTTCAACAGTAAAGCGTGGTCGTGTATGCATACATATAACAATTTTGTAAACATGCTAGCAAGAAAACAGGAAGCGGCCACAGAGCTCCCAAATCTCATGCTGGGCGGGATATCATAGTAGGCGTTTTCGGTGCAATAATTTCAGAACAAATTTATAGGAGTTGACCACTAAAAATATTACTGTAAAGCTAGTTTTAGTAAGACCCTCATTTAAGAATTCATTGGTCTGTGAGATATTTGTTCCGTATTAGCCCTGGTGTCAGGTATTTCAACGAAATACCGCTTTCTAGGTCATCGTCTGTTTTGGAGATCGCGGCTAACGAATGAAATAAGGTTTTACAAATGTCAATGTAAAAAAACAGCAAAAGAAAAAAGACTTTGGCAGAACAATGTTGTTGATATCGTTAAGAGACGTTTATCCCTCGGACTACAATGACACTCAAAAATGCTTGCTTCGTAGAAGCGGATAAATGCATATACACCAAAACTAACTACAAGTGAAACAGTGTTGAAATTTAGAATATTGAGCTTGCGCCTGTAACATGAAAATTATTTGCGACTGGAAATTGCCGTTGGGGCAAACATTTTTTGTGAAAATGTACGTGGGTTCAAATGTACGCGGGTTCAAATTAAGCGAGTTCAAATATAATATACGTTGGTTCAAATATACGCGGGTTCAAATGTCCGTGGGTTCAAATGTACGCGGGTTCAAATATACGTGGGTTCAAATGTCTGTGGGTGGAAATATACATGGGTTCAAATGTCCGCGGGTGCAAATGTTCGTGGGTTCAAATGTCCGCGGGTGCAAATGTACATGGGTTCAAATGTACGCGGGTGCAAACGTACACGGGTTCAAATGTCCGCGGGTGCAAATGTACATGGGTTCAAATGTACGCGGGTGCAAACGTACACGGGTTCAAATGTCCGCGGTTTCAATCTATATGCGGGTGCTAAAATCCATGGGTGGAAATGTATGGGTTCAAATGTCCGTAGGTGCAAATGTCCATAGGTGCAATAGTATACAGGTGCAATTGTCCTGGGTTCAAATTACGGGTTCAGATGTACGGGTTCAAATGTACGCGGGTTCAAAGATAATGGAACCTATAAATATACAAGATCACCTACACGAATCATGGGAGATATAGGAATAGGGTTACGGCATTTTGACTTTTGGCTGGGCTTATGGTTCTGGAGTCGACTAGCATATTGTTTTTCAATCATGTGTCTGTCTTCCATAGGAATTTGTTGATTAGTGAATTGGTCTCTTTGGGTCCACATTTCCCGTGATGATAATCCTTTCTTGCGTAGTCGTGAATTAAGATTAGCAAGGGCCACTGATAATGTGACATGAGAAACAGGCTGATTGTCCGGTGCAAGTCTTAGTAATTCTTCCTGCACTTCTTGTACGGCTTTTTCAGCAATGGCATTTTTATTGATGTTCTTCGAATGGCAAGTTCGAGTGTAAGTCGATGCTTGGCTAGTCTGTTATTTTTTGCCATTGAAGCAAAGGCAGGAGCAGAGTCTGTGCGTATTAATGCTGGTGGGCCATCAAGAGGGGTCATATCCAAAGTTAAACACACAAGACCATTACGTAAAGTCTCTTCTCTTTCATTTTAAATTAAGCAGGCTCGTGTGAAAGAGGTAACACATTCTCGTATGACTAATATCAATTGTTTTCTTTGTTTAATAACGTCTGCAGCAAACATTGATCCGACGGATGGTAAGTTATCACTGGTAGTTTGTGGTATGGGGCGGGACACAAACTTTTTTAGGGATCGATGGCAGGCATTAGAAACATGTTTAATCATAGCATCAGAATCAGGAGCAAAAAAATAACGATTAAATACAGATGCCAATCGGTGAGCGGAGGGGTGCTCTAATCGAATATGTAAAGCAGTTAAAATAGCATCAACGAAATGACGTGGAATAATAATACGATCTTGGCGAGAGGAAAAAGGGCGAGATGTATGATAAACAAGTAATCCATCACTAGCAATAGTGGCATGCATGAGGTAACGTTTCACGTCAATGATCTTAGTCAATTTTTTTGATGGTCTGGTGCCTTGTTGTAGGTGAGCGTGAACCCGCCGAAGATCCGAACATTCTTTTTGAATCGTAAGCCAGGCAGATCTAGAAGTAAACGGCATTTTAGTGTGGCCTGATAAAATGTCGCGAACAGAAACCTCACGCATGACAGGTTGTTGCTTGATATCATCAATAAAAGCACAAATTTGACAGTTATTAGTACAACACTCCGGTGCATTACGACTAGCAAAATCTGAGGGGAGATTTTTAGAACCCGCTAAGTGCTCCAGGGTGACTTGATATTGACTTGTGACTGATAAAAATGTTGAGAGTCTTGGGCTAGCTGAAAACTTTCCTCGGCATAGCTTTTGAAAGGCCTGAACGCAAGGCTTACTGTCTGTTAGAACCCGTGTAGTATTTGCAGATTGGATGATATAGGGAGCAAAGTGCTTGATAGCAGATGCAATACTGAGGGCCTCGATTTCGCATGGAATCCAGGAAGTGAAGCGAGACTTAAGTTTAGCGCTAAAAAAACCAGCAAGGTGTGTCTCGCCCTCACGTGTAATATACAGTGTGGCTCCTAAACCCGGATGTGAAACTGAACCATCAGTAACTAGCCACAATAAATCACTGGGTCTTGGTAACGTTATAGACTTGTTGCTAGATAAATGAGATTGGGCAGAGTGAAAACTTTGACGTAGCTCATCATTCCACAAAATAGTTTCTTGGGAAGCACGGTTATCAGTGACTTTTTGTAGGTCACACAAAAATTTGCACATTTGGGTATGACTCTAGCAAGAACACGGTAAGCTCCTAAAAAGGACCGCATAGCTGCTACAGTTTTAGGTGGGTCGCATGTGGATAATGTGGCAATACGATGTGGGGATGCTTTAATTATGCCTTCTGACCATATCCAACCAAGGATGGTGGTTGACTTGGGGGCTATAATAGTTTTGGAAGCAGATAAACATAAACCACATTTTGATAAGGCAGAAAGCACACTACTCCAGTTACGGAGCAATTCCTCAGGAGTATTTCCCCCACAGTATAAATCGTCTGCTATTTTAGTTACGATACCAGCCTGTAATAGGTCACCTAAAACCCGGCACATAAGCTCTTCCAATGCAGTTTCAGATCCAGGCATTCCCATAGCAGATCTGGTATATACCCGGGTACCACGAAATGGTGTTACCACACCACAATATTTCATAGACTTCTTTTCAAGTGGAATTTGATAGAAGGCACTTGTGAGATCCGACACGACTATGTATTTCCAACATGCAATTTTGCGCAGAGTAGAGTCAACATCAGGTAAAAGGGAAGGTTGTGGTTTTGAGTATCTCCCAACGTCTGCGAATGCAGTGACTAGACGATAACCCCCCGAGGCTTTCTTGACTAAGAAGGAGGGGTTTAAATATTCCACAGTGACCCCAACGCATTCTGGTTTTTGGAAAACACCCAATGCCTCAAGTTCATCAAACTTTTGCTGTAACTCAACTAATTTATCACGCGAATATTGAGGTATTCTACCTTTCCGTTGAGGGGGCTGGGTAGGTCCCATATTAACCACAGCTTTTAAGGGACCAACAGCTTTATTGTAACCGGGAGGGCTCGGGTTAAACACGCTATCAAACTTTTGGTGTAAGTGTTGAAATTTTGCGACAACGTCTGAGGGCAGGATATGTTCAGGATCGACTTTTATGTTGGTTGCAAATGGAGGGGATGGTCGAACGAAGGAATTATGGTTGGTAGACTGGGTAATGGATTGTTGAGATATAACAGGTAAAAGTTGGGCGAATTGTTGATGCTTGTCAATACGTGCAGGTTCGCATGATGAATTTTGAATAAGGATGTAATCGTTATGGCGGGGAGCAATGCAAGGCGTTAACCATTTTTCAGTGGTAACGGACTGACAATCGATGCGAGGCTCGACAGCCACCTCGTCAACATCAAGCAAGTGATTTGGTAAGGGAACTGTCATAGTTTCGCCAGGCCAAAGGACGCGTGACTTGCTGGAGTGTCTAATAATATGAGGCGGGTGACTGGCCCCACTATTGAGACGTTTATCATCATATGGCATTGGAGGAAGGTTGCGAATACTGATGGTATGCTTTGCAGGTCGCAAAATGATATCGTTCTCGACCATAAACGGGGTGCCAGCCAAAATGTCGGAATCTAAATGCTGAACTACCAGTGCTTTAAAAGGCATAGAAACAGCATCAAGTGATAGGGTAATAGCTGTTTCGCCAAGTACATTTAAAAATGATGATCCGTCAGCCTGTAGAGCTTTTTGAGAGCACTTAGATATTTTGGCGCCCAGAAGACTAGCAAGGGATAGAGATATCATATTACACTCAGCACCAGTGTCAAGCACGACACGGATGGGTTTTCCTTTAGAGTACAAGACCAGGTGAGGGCAATGGCATATGTTAACACGTCGTGAGCGGTAAATATAATGATTAGAGTTAGAATTTACCTCAGGACAGTCAGAAGATGCTGAACTTATGTCCACCAAAGGATCCATGTCATCGTGATCCGTACTGATCATACGTGCTTTAGCCATGAATTGCTTATCGTTGTCAGGAAGGAAAGGGCAGCGGCTCAGGTAATGCTTGAACGGTCGACCCCCTTCCTTGCACAGAGGGCATGATTGACGTATGTTAATGTTGCGGCGGCTGGAACTATCCTTCTTTGAATTCAACTTTTGAGAGTGAAGAGATCTACACACTTTGGCATATTCCATGGAGGCCAGCTCGTCTAATAGTGACTCGAGCGCTCCTGAAATTTCAGGTTTGATAGAAGCTAGTGTGCGAGAACGCAGCTCAGTTCCATAACGTTGCTTAACGAGCATTGGTAAATCCTGGTGCAACAAAGACAACCAGAAATAAACGATTGTATTTTCCAAGGTAGGAGTTAAGTCTTCGTCTTCCGTTGGCACAGAGCCGTGATGAGTAATTGAGCTATTTGTGGTAGCGAGGTTGTCTTCAAAAAAAGACACTAGGCGTTGGTAAAGGTCTTCTGCTCTTTCCCCATCTTCAAGTTTGATATTGGCTAACTCCAGGAGATGGGCGCCGGTAGTATGGAACCCAAAATGCATGCGGAGCGCTTGCCAAATACAGTTCAAAGATGTGGAATTTTTGACGATGGTGTTGCGAGACATAATCGGACAATAATTTGCTATTTGTCCGAGCATCAACTCTAAAGTGGCGTTTGTTTGAACTGCCGACTTTCTGCGGTCTTCAGCTACTGCCTCTCCATCATCGGTCAGACCTCTCAGTGGGTTAGCTTTGGTTTGTTTCTCCCATTGGACGTCAGGGGCAAGAAAAGGCGTAAAGTTATTGTCCAGGGCTAAAGTGTATAGCAGATTTTGTCTCCATGTTTCGAAGGAAGTGATTGTCTCACATTTCTTCAGAGGCCACCGCTTTGGTGCTTTAACAGCTGCCATTGTTAACCTCAGTATAGGAGATATACAGCGTAGAATTCGTCTTCGCTGCCACCACGCCAGTAATTGGTCGTAATTATCTTACAATGCTAAAGACCTTACACAGAAAAACAAGCAACGTCTTGTATGAAATCCGAAACAGGAATGAATTTATTATCCACGATAACACGCGCAATAGCGCGAGAGAAAAATACGAGGAAAACGAAATCAGAGGGCATATCGTAATCAGTCGACGCTTCAGATGCGTCGGCAGTACAAACACTTATTATCACACAATAAAGGACAAACACTCGTTATTATATAACTGGCGCTGCATTTCTAGCCCTCACCCTATAAAACCGTAACTGGATTATTTCTAATTTTCTTTTGAACGAAGGCGGTGGTGTTTTTTATGGCGGGGGCTTTGTACAAAAGTTACCGAAATATTTATCTGAAGCATTATTACCTAGAACTTTGCATTTTAATCCGATACAAAATGACATAAAGGAGGGTTCGATGAGACATACCGATGAGTAGGTTGAAATACGTTTAGGCGGGTGACCGTACATTTGAACCCACGTACATTTGAACCCATGTTTATATTCGCGGGTTCAATCTATATGCGGGTGCAAAACCCATGGGTTACGATTAGTATGGGTTCAAATATCCGTAAAACAACAAAAATTCCAATAGGTGCCGGTGTAATCGTCGTGGGTTCAAATGTAATGGAACCGTTTAGTCGCAATGTCAAAATTACCAAAAAGGGGGAAGGGGGTTGGAAATAGTCCGAAAATTGCTAAAAAACTGTCGCCGCAATTAGGCAGGCCACTTTTTTGACGGATTAGGTTTTTTAT